TGGGATCTTCTATTTATGTAGTGGTTTCACTCGTTTATGAAAAATAAAAAGAGGGGAAAAGGGACATCCAATGGTGTAGTATGTAAAATATAGGTATAGACGTAAAAATAATAGTATAAAACTCACATTTACCAGAGCTAATGTCCAGCTCTGGAGTAAAGCGCGTACAGCGGTTTAATCCCCGCTTGTGGGATATAAAGCAGGTTCCTCACCGTGAATGGTGATGACATCACTGCTGTGATGACATCACTGCTGGGAGGAAGTGACTCCCCGGTCACTCCTCCCAGCTATCAGAGCCCGTGCAGGAGGAAGCAGGAAGGAGGAGTTCCCACTCTGACTCCCATCAGGCTGAGCCCCCATTGGACCCCAGGGAAAGTCACAAAAGGTAGGAAACAGGAAACATTTTGTGTATGTGTGTGTGTCTCTATTTTGTGTATGTCTGTCTCTGTATGTGTGTGTGTGTCTGTGTCTCTGTATGTATCTATCTGTGTGTCTCTGTATGTGTGTGTCTGTGTCTCTGTATGTGTGTGTGTCTGTGTCTCTGTATGTGTGTGTCTGTGTCTGTATCTGTGTGTTTCTGTATGTGTGTGTGTGTGTCTCTGTATGTGTGTGTCTGTGTCTCTGTATGTGTATGTGTGTGTGTGTGTCTGTATGTATGTGTGTCTGTGTCTCTGTATGTGTGTGTCTCTGTATGTATGTGTGTATGTATGTGTCTGTGTGTTTGTCTATCTGTGTGTATGTATGTGTGTGTCTGTGTGTATGTGTTTGTGTCTATGTATGTGTCGGGGGGGGCCCACGGATCAGGGTAGAGAGGGGAGGGAAGGGAAGAGAGATGGCCATGGATTGTGTGTACGCCACTGCACACTGGTACATAGTTTCACACAGATACACCAACTGGGAAACGCTGATCTATAACATTATACAAAATGGTATTCAGTCAAACTATTAACAGACATTGACAGCATTAGTGAACCAAGTAACTTAGCCAACAGGGTTATTCAATAAAGTGAGAAATAAAAATGAAGTGAATTTCAAAGGTAAGACCAAACTAGCCTTACTTGAAAAAAATAATCCTAAATCAGCTATGCTTCCAGTTTGACTTCTTTGGTCTTAAATTTGATGTTCATTTGAGAATTGTCACTTCTGTCTATAGCCCTGCAAGTCTATCTCTCCCTCTTTAACCTCTTGATCACTGTATTTATACAGGTACGTTAGAAATACATATTGAGCAATCAATAACCCATGGTAAAACGTAATTAATGTCAATATTACAATTTAGTGCCAAAAAACAAGTAAACTGAAGGAAGGGGTTAGGAAAAGGGTTCCAGGGGTCTATCATACGAAGGAATACATAGCATGGCTTACATGCATAGCAGCATTTAATTGGAGTGTCAGCCATCAGGGTGACCCAGGTCAGCAATCATTGTCAAATCGGGAGGTTTTCTTGTCTGTTTGCTTTATTTTATTCTTGTAACTTTCTAATTTAACATAATATATAGTATTATATACAACTATGCTCATTCAAACCCGTAGGTGTTACTCATCCTTCATTCAACTCTTTAATTAACTTTTTTTAGTTTAGTTTTTTTTTACATTTATTTGCCTTTTTTGAGTGCGACTTTTTCGGGAATTTACTTTTTTTGGAAATAATATTGTGACTTTGTGTTGTCCTGATGAAAGTTCATACTGTGAACTGAAACGTTGACATGCTTGGATGTTTTTGACATTAAAAAAGAATCCTTGGAATCCTAAAGGTGCTGGCAGTTTTTCCTTATAATATTTTGTGTTTCTGAGCACTAGATATTTATTCACTAAACAAGTAGCAGAATGCAGAGCTGAAAATACTTTTATGTATTCCCTTACCTATAAAGCTTTAAACAACTCAAGCACTTGTTACATTTATTCACTGATTCATAGGTATGCCCCTTCTCGGTCTCTTCGCTCTGCCGGTGACCTTCTCCTATCTGCTACTCGTACCCTTACTGCTAACTCACGCTTGCAGGACTCCTTACGGGCAGCTCTCATCCTTTTAAACAGCCTGCCTACCCCCATCAGACAAATCTTTATTTGTTTAGAGCAAAACATCTTTTCAGAAAAGCTTATAGACTCCCAGAGTAACTTATCTATACTTATCCAAATCTGTCTCTTGCTCTCCTAAAGAGCCATACTCCACTCTCACCTCCAGCTCTGCTACTTTTCCACCTTGTTTGGTGGCTGTCACCCTTGCTGCCCTATTGTATTTTTGTACCCCACCTCCTCTAGACTGTAAGCTTGTTTGAGCAGGGCCCTCATCTACCTATTGTTCCTGTGTCACAGTTTAATTGTCTAATTTATTGTAAATTCCACCCCCCTTTCATAATATTGTAAAGCGCTGTGTAAAGCACTGTGGAATTAGTTAGCGCTATATAAATACCAATATATATATGGACACTATGTGGATTAAAGTATTGGGACTCACTCTTAACTATTGTATTCATGTGTTTCAATTAGACCCATTGCCACAAGTGTATAAAATAAAGCACTTAACCATGCAGTCTTCATTTACAAAAGTGGGTCGTTTTAAAGAGCTCAGTGAATTCAAGCGTAGTACTGTGACAGGATGCCACCTTTGCGATAACTCTGTTCATAAGATTTGATCTGTGCTAGATATGCCACCGTCAACTGTTCATGGTATTATTGAAAGGTGGAAGTCCTTAGAAACAGCAGTAACTCAACTACAAAGCAGAAGACAACCTAAAGTCACAGAGCGGGTTCACCGAATGCTGAGGCGCATGGGGCATAAATGTCACCAACGCTCTGCTGATTTCATAGCTGCCACTGGCTTTAATATCTCACAAAACTGTGTGGTGGGTGCTTCATGCAAAAGGTTGAATGAATCAAGCTTTTCTGTTTTGCAGTATTATGGTAAAGGATTTCCCTGTATTTACCTGTGTTCATTCTGTTATTTCCTCTCCCTGCCATTTAAGTGACTTTGAAATATTCGTTTTACTTATGTGTTCGGGAAATTATTCATTCTACTGAACGGAGACCACCCTGGGTAGCAATCAGAACTTAAAACACCAAGTAACCACACGAAAACCGCAAAGTAATTGAGTGCTCCTAGATGGCCACCATTCGGCATACGAACATGTGGCGAGAACAAAGGATGGCGGCCATCTTAAATCTCCCGAACGCGGCCAACGAGACTTACTCATCGAGTTCCTGGAACTGTTTTCGGCATGGCACTCACATGAACTGTCTTTATGGAAGTCCCGTCTGACCTATTTCCACTTGCAGTACCAGACCGGCGTTCGGGAGTTCCAATCAACCGAACAAGGGGAGCATTCTCATGTAACCAGCTGCAGTATAACTATGGTGGTTTTCATGTAATTCTGCACGAACGGAGACCGGCTCTTACTACCAATTTCATGGAACTCTAAATCGGATACAACCACATGGCGAGCTGTTCAAACTTCCACACGATGCGACATGGAAATTATCAAATGGATTTTCGTGCAATTTGGATATGTTACTCCTAGTATCCCCAGCTACCCAGGGATATATTCATATGTCATGTAGAAAGTATATTACCAAAAATGTTGAAAATTGTTAAAGTTTCTGGCCAGCAGACAATTGAGTTTAGTATGTTGCTGAAACTCAATTATCTAGCCTATCCCAGAGGAGGAGCTTGTACTGTATAAATTGAATGCCTGTTGCTTCCAGTAAATCAATCTTGTTCCAGCATTAAGCTCTGGCTCATGTGTGGATTATTTGGGGATACCAGCGTTATTTTACCCTGTGGATTATTGCCGTTATTCTGCTATTGGGAAAAAGGGAATACTGGACGGTAATACTCATTACTACCATCACAAATGGGCATGTCTGGGTTTGGTGGATGTCAGAAGAAGGTTACCTGCCTGATTGCATTGTGCCAACTGTAAAGTTTGGTGGAGGAGGGATATTGGAATTGGACTGTTTTTTGGGGGTTGTGCTACGCCACTTACTTCCAGTGAAGATAAATCTTAAGACATTTTGAACAATGCTATGCTTCCAAATTTATGGGAACAGTTTAGTGAAGGCACTTTTCTATTCCAGCATGACTGTGCCCCAGTGCACAACACAAGGTCCATAAAGACATGGTGGGATGAGCCCTGATCACAAACCCATCGAACACCTTTGGAATAAACTGGAACGGAGATTGTGAACCAAGCCTTCTCATCCAAAATCAGTGCCTGACCTCACAAATGTTCTACTGGATAAATGGGCACAAGTTCCCACTGAAACACTCCAAAAGCTTGTGGAAATCCTTCCCAGAATAGTGGAAGCTGTTATAGCTGAAAATGGGGACCAACTACATATTAATGTCTATGTATTTAGAATGCAATGTCGGAGAAGCCCTGATAGGAAAGCATTAATTCAATGCTTTCCTATGGTGAAGTTTGAATGAGCGAGCAGTGCTCGCCTTGCACAATCATTAGGTTCTAAATGTCCCTCTATAAGGAACATTGGATTAGGCATCAACATTTGTTTTATTATAATGCACCCCAGGGGAAAGGGGGGATCTAAATAAGAGAAGAGACAGAAAAAACACTATACCATTATATAAATACAGATTGTTGTGCCCTCTTCCTGCATCAACTGTTTCAATATTAATCCTGATTTAAGTCTACAGTGCCCTAACACTGCACTACACTTTGCTGTTGCCTCTAGAACAATTGTCCACCCACCACCAATCCATCTCATTCTTCTTAAGATTTCTTTCTTCTTCTCTCATATCTTATATCCACCCTCCTCTCAAGGACATCTCCCTTGCTGTACACTTACCTTGCCCTGACAGGCTCTCACTTTATATTTCACAGTATGATTATTTTATCTCCTTTTAATCTGCCATACTGATTCTTGAAAACATACCAAATTTATGAAACAACTACTCCTTGAACAATCCACATCACCATGTGCCTCCCATCACAGGACTATCTATTTAGTGACGGGGTTACATAAAATAATGTACACACAAGAAATTATGAATCAACCATTTATTTTCTGAAATAAAATTGAAGCACAATAAATACACTATTAATTCAGTCTCTATCGCATTAAGTATGGTCATATTTAGCAGTTGTTGGTCAGCATTTCTCATGAAAGAGCACTTTTTTTAAAAGCATGGAGTGAAGTGGTAAACCTCGTGATCCAGAGGACATACTAGATTTGATTGTGGATTGCGACTCTTAACATTCTTACATGAGTTACAGTCTATAGGTCTTGAGTTCTAAACGCTACGTGTAACCACACTTTACACTGCTCACAGTGTGCTCCATTGAACATAGAAACATAGACGGCAGATAACAACCATTCGGTCCATCTAGTCTGCTCAATTTTCCAGTTACTTTCATTAGTCCCTGTCCTTATCTTATAGCTAGGAGAGCCTTATGCCTATCCCACGCATGCTTAAACTCCTTCACTGTGTTAACCTCTACCACTTCAGCTGGATGGCTATTCCATGCATCCACTACCCTCTCAGTAAAGTAATACTTCCGGATATTATTTTTAAACCTTTGCCCCTCTAATCTAAGACTATGTCCTCTTGTTGTGGTAGTTTTTCTTCTTTTAAATATAGAACGCAGAATGCAAGGCATGAGTGAATGAAGCTTGCATCTTCATTATCTAGGTTATTCTTCAAGACAGTGCTCAGACAGCAAGATTAGCAAATATAACTATTGTTATTCTTATAACCTTTACTTGAACGCCTAGCTGCAAAATTAATTACCACATCTTGTCCTGCCCAATATTTTCTCCTATTTAGAAATATTTGTATTTTGTATTTTTTCCCATTTCTTTCAGAGAACAATTCCAACAGCAGTATATAGTCAAGACATTTCTACATTTTTCCAGTGGACTTCCTATCTTTTTCAAGTTTCAGCTCACCTAGAAGGTCTTCTCGTCTCGTACAGAGACCATAACGTGCGATGTCATGACTGCCTGCAGTTGGTGAAGACATTTCGTACATTACAACTGTACCAGTGATAGGGAATCTTGACTTACAGGTATTTTGTAAACTATTTTTCCCAGAATGCTCAGCCACTCATCCCAAAATCTGGCATCATAGAAAATTTAGTTCACAAATATATGGGGTGTAAAATTAAATCAAGCTTTACCACCAACAATTCTGTTTATGAACTGAGCAACCGTAATAGCTAAATATAATATGAAAGTAACTAGTAGCTTGATGTTTGGTTCTGAAAAAGCAACTTAATGCCTAATGTAATGATTACACTTCTAATTTAGTTTTAGCTTCCATTCTGATGCCATTTCATGTTTTGTGATTTTGGTTTCTATCCATTTCAATTTCTACATCAATTATCAAGAAATGACTGTGGCAAAGGCCAACACAACTACGAGGGCAGAATAAGAATTACAATTTAACACACAAGTGATATAAACACAAAACGTCCATTACATTCAAAAGACATTTAGAATTTACTCAAAAGAAACAACAAATGACAGTGAAGAAGTAGAAAAAAATAAATAACAGCAGCTTCTAAACACTAAATACAAACATACAATCACAACATTATTTATAAAGTAGATTTCTATGAGTAAGTGCAAAAACAGTTCTTAAGAGGTCATTGACATGGTTTGTCTTTCATTCTCTTGTTCTTTTTATGACTCAGGTGTTCACATAAGTAGATGCTTATGTGGCCTCATGAGTGCCCAAGATTTATGACATGACAACCAGAGACATTTGGAAAAGTTTACCCCTGGATCTTCCACGCCAGCCATTTCACATTGTACTGCAGTAGATATAGGAGTTTTCTAATATTTAGTTATTTGTGAAAACACGTGATAGTTTTATGTCTGTGCAAAATGTATTTCCAAAGAATTTCTAAAGTCAGTCATTCTGTTTACACTTTACTTCTGAGAGCTTCCACGAGGCTGTACGACCCTTGTAACTTCGCTTGTTTCATGTGATAAATGATTAAACATATGACACATGCTGACACTGCAGCCACGGATAACATTATAATTGGGAACATGTAGCTAGGTTTCGGGCTTTCGTGACGCTCTGAAAGAAGGAATAAGAGTGTGGTTACAAAACAATTAGAGAAGATGACTGCAGATAAACGTAAAAAAATTTAATGACAGTGTCATTGATATATAGAGTAACATGTCATGATCATGGGCTAAAGACAAAATTGGAAAGTGCATGCTTCTGGTAAACACTTGGTATAAAATATTACGTCAAACATTATCAGTTATCAAAATAATTGCCACTTTTCAAAAATGGCATGCTCTCTGATTTGCTAAAGTACAAGTCCCTTGAGGAGTCTATATAAAGTGATCCTAAGAAATTTTGTTGAAAAAAACCAAGGGGGAAACCAAACCCCACACTGCAAACCAAACCCTACATTATGAAGACGCATACACAAACTTAATTAATCATACTCATGTAAGCATATACCTAAAAAGCCACAAATGCATACATAATTAACCACTTATACAGTTCAAATTAGCCACAAACACTTCCATTTTTAGCATTATACTCAATAATATATACATAGACACGTGCACACACATACCTAGATACAGACTCAGACACCTACACAGCTGCACACTAACACACATAATTAGACACACACACTAACGTTCATACTTGAATCTGTAAAAAACAAACAAAACAAAACTAGAAAATGCTCAAGCAATGTCATCTCCCCAAAGAAGGATTTGACCCCAGATAGACTTAGTCTTGAGACTAAAATTAAGAGGTTTGTAAAATTTAGGCTAATAATATGGTAATGATTTCATATTGTCACCTTATAGGAAACCACAGAGTGTAATTATGAGGATTGCTCCGCGACAACAATAATGACACTTGAAACACAATTTGGAATTTAAATATTTTTGGCATTGATTTAACAAGCTTTCCAATTATTCTATACTATTGGACAATTTATCTACAAAAAATCCCATAGTGTTTAATGGTGACCCCTGTAGATTAATCACATGGAAGGTTTTTATAACAGTATTGAATTATTTGGAAAGCTTAATAAACTTAGATCATTGTACTTAAGAGAATTACGGTAAGCTACATGAATTACCATATGTTATTGCTCCTCTATCTTGTGCATTAACTTCGCCTTAAGCAAAACACAATACATATGTGCCTCTAAGAATGGATTTGAAATGAAATCTTTCTGTAATTTTGTAGTTTCAGAAGATATTTTGGGCTCCTACGTTACATAATGTACTGTCTATTGAATCTTCATCTCCAGATGTTACTCTCAAAAGAACATTCTCAAAAATTCTCAAAAAAAACCCCTGTTAGACTGCATGCAAGAGATACACAACACAATTTATATTGCCAGAGTGCCCTTATGTGCAGCGAAGTTTACTTGTCTAGCCATATGAATAAACCTATTCAATAATTTAGACTGATACAGAATTGCAGAATATTAACAGAACAGGGAAACCATTTAAAGTGACCCCATTTGTGAGTGACATCCCATTAAATTGAAGTAATTTAATCTGTATATTCTGCTATCAAAATTTATGATTTTGTAGATTTGGTAAGAAATTTAATATTTGCCCTGCATTTGGATCCAACAGAGCAACAAGTAGTCATCGTATGAAGTAATTCTGATCAGCTCAACATCTTCAACGTTTTATCTAATCAGTCCAGAAAGTAAAGAAATTCTGGATGACCAGAAAGGATGAATGGTGAGGTGCAAGTTTACTTTTGCAATAACCGGATGTTTTTAATTCTCTTTCTACAATATGTGCTAAGTAGCACACTTAAATAGATACATGAGATTATTTCCAGATTAATACGGGACTCTTATGTTAACATGATGGAGTTCTCTTAACATTGATGTGTTCTAATGAAAGATCACTTCAACAATCTGAAAATATTATCCCTGTTTTCTTTTAAAATTTGTATAATGCAGAATTTTGTCACTCGGATGTGATTTCCTATTTCTGGAAAAGCTGTTCTTGCTGACAATAGATGGGCATGTTCCTGTTGAATGTTGACTTCATTTCTATCACAATAGTCAGCTGACTGAGTTTGTTGTTCTCCCTGAAAACGTTTTTATGCTGTTTACCAATGCAATATGTACCCTGGAAATATCAGTGTACTGTCTTAGTAAAGTATAAATATATATATTTTTTTATTTATACAAATTTACTTTATGATATATATTTATTTTACTTTTAATATAGAGAGCTGGGTGCTTCAGATTTCATCTTAGTATTTATATACTCTTTGTCCAATTTAATATAATTTAGATAGACCTAAATATTAATTATTATTAATTTGTTATTTTTACTTATTGTTAATATGTACATTCTACTGACCTAGAACATTGATCTCAATAACTTTGGTCCTTCTCCCTGCTTCATTAATTATGCTGACTGTGTACATCCCAGTATCTTTGAGGGTGACATTACGCAAGGTGAAGGTGCCATTCTGTGCCTGCATGATAGTATTATTTTCCGCACACACTTTCTGCAGAAGGATGGTTGGGGAGGGTATGCTGTAGGTCTCGCAGGTAATTGTGACGGTGTCACCTTCTGTGACATTCTCCGATGGTATTACAACTACCGTTGTGTTTTCAGAGGCAACTAAAAAGGCAGGACCACAAATTTAATTAAGAGAATAATAAAACTGTGAAAATAGTTTATATATTATATTAAAATATACATTAATCTACAACTGTTCATGTTGTTGTAACACATTTGGTCTGTGTAGATCCCATTCTGTCAAAAAAATAATCAGAATATAAACCACCCAGGTGCAATATATATACAATCAATACAAAAAGGTAATTGCCCCTCTTAGATGTAAGGTATAACAAAAGGATTCCTCTCAATCCTCCAACACAAATAGCAAACAACAGGATATACATAAAATGGAGAAAGAAACTCATAGGGTAGTAACGTTGATTCTAGAAAACCCCAGAATTCAAGGTTGCACTCACAAAGTAGCAGACAATTCATGAATTGCCATATGAGAGAGGGCTATTTAAAGGACGGCTCTGGTTTCTACAGACTACAGCACTTTAATTAATGCACTACTTAGCACTTTTAATACTCCTGATAAAGTCTAAAGTAATTACATGAAACGCGTGGAGTGAGGGTTATTTTTTTGTATTTTATTGTGATTATTGTTTTATATGCTGCTATTTCTGCCTATGGTACCTGTGAGGACTCCTCTATCCTACATCATCAGGAACAGGACTGGGGACTACAGGATTGTACTGATTGGCTTTTTTTTACTGATCTATACTAAGTGTAACCATTAAAGCGTGTGTTTCAATGTCATATTAGTGTTGCTCTTTTCATGTTCTTTTATATTCTCTTTACATGAATTATTGGATATCTGAACATAGCTGAATCTGGTGGAATCTACATACCATTGATGACCCTGAATTTTGTGCTACTTTGTGATAGCAACCTTGCATTCTGGGGTTTTCTAGAACCAACGTTACTACCCTATGAGTTTCTTTCTCCGTTTTACGATCCTATTCTGACATGGAATACATTTTTAACTCCGCTAAATGAGGGTTCTACAGAGATGGAGATATCCATATAACCAATAGTCTGAATGAAAGAATGGTGCAGAATGTTATTGTTTCTAATGGATTGAGCGTGATATGTTGTATAAAATGTGTAGTGTTCCTATCGCCAATATGTTTTGACAGTCATGATCAAAATGATTCAACCGCCATTGAAAATCAGGTTTATCAGGTTTATTGTCAAAATTTACAGACTTTCAGCTGTTTGCAATGAACAAATCAAACAAAAGCAATTGAAACACAACACAACAATGAATGCATCAAGTGGTTTCTCCAAATTCAACTAAAAATGCAACTTATAATGACTTATTAAAATAAAATATTCAACCCTCTGAATAGAATCCCTCACAACAGCACAAATATGCATAACAGGTGTTATCTCAAGCAGACCCGGTGCATATAATCAAGGGTTTCATTCATTGCACCCGGTGGGCTTGAGGTGGAACACTTGAAATACCTGAACTGGATAGGGTGTTTGTTGAGTGTCACGTTTGACTGCATGTTAAAGGGATACTATAGTCCCCAGAACAACTATAGCTTAATGTAGTTGTTCTGGTGAGTAAAATCACTTCCTTCAGGCATTTTCATGCAAACACTGCATTTTCAGAGAAAAGGCAGTGTGTACATTGCCCCTAGGGACACCTCCAAGTGGCCACTCCTCAGATGGCCACTGGAGGTGCTTCCTGACGCAGTGCTGCACAGTAGGCAGCTCTGCCGTTCAGCTTCCCCACGCTCCGCACGGGGACATTGAATTTTCCTCATGAGGAGGTGCTGATTGGCCAAAATGGCATTTGGCCACGCCCCTCGCCGATTTTAGCCAATCCAATGCTGATTGGCTAAAAATTGGCAATTCTGATGATGTCACCAAGGCAGACCCGCACAGCGCTGGAAATAAGGTGAGTTTTTCATGCGTTTAAGGGGGGTAAGGGGAGGCAAGCCAGCTTAATGATGGGTTTTGCACATTAGAGTCAGGAATACATGTTTGTGTTCCTTTAAAGTATGGCCAAGTCAAAACAATTATAAGATATATACAAGCATGGCACTTCTTAGAAGTGGAATATATATATATATATATATATATATATATATATAGAGAGAGAGAGAGAGAGAGAGAGAGAGAGAGAGAGAGAGAGGGTATGAGTAGGTGTATCCCCAACACCTATACAATGAGAATACAAACAACCACAATGTGCACAAACACAATGTAAAATACACCCCCCAGAAAACAGAAGATAAGATACTTATATAATAATGTGCCCATCATTCCAGAGTCTGGTACGGCTCTGGAATTCATGAGTGTAATCATTTATCATACATAATTTCCAGTTGTTAATCAGTACACACTATGTGCTATTTTCTTTTTTAGGCATTGCTGATACTTACCTGCCATCAACATTCCGTGTTAAAGTATCTTATCTTCTGTTTTCTGGAGGGTGTATTTTACATTGATTTTGTGCACATTGTGCTTGTTTGTATAAGTCAAAACAATTGTCCACAAAGTTAAAAGAAGAGATCATCACCCTTCACAGACAAGGAACAGGATACAGAAAGATAACAAAGGCACAAAATGTTCCTAGAGATACGTTGGAAGCATAATTCACAATTTTGAAGTAGAAAGAACAGTGGTTACACTACCTGGACAGAACAGATAAAGGAAGCTATCAATGGCTGCAACAAGATTTCTGAGAAAGCAGGTTGTGAAAAAACCTCTAGTAACTGCCAAAGACCTGCAGCAAGACTTTGTGGCAATAGGCACTGATGGTTTCAGTAAACACAGTAAATGCAGAATGTTTCCATGCCAGAACTCCAAGATGTACACCACTACTGCATCAAAAGCACAAGAAAACTCAGCTCCAATATGCTCAAAATCATGTAAATAAGCCACAGTAGTTTTAGCATTCTGTTCTGTGGAGTGATGATACAAAACTCGAACTTTTCAGCCCAGTGGATTAGTGGTATGTCTCGAGGAAGAAGAATGAAGCATACATTGAAAAAAACATTATGCCTGCAATTAAGCATGGTGGTTGCTCATTGATGCTCTTAGGCTGCTTTGAATCATCTGGCACTGGAAACCTACAACATGTGGAAGGCATGGATTCATTGAAGTATCAGGAAATCCTATCAGAAAATGTCAGGCGAAGCAGCTTAAGCGTGGGGGTCATTTAATCTTACAACAAGACAATAATCCCAATCATACATCAAATTCCACCAAGGCTTGGTTGCAGAAGAAGTCATGTTACCGTGGCCATCACAGTCACCTGACTTGAACCCCATAGAAAATCTCTGGTGGGATTAAAAGAAGATGGTTTCCGTAAGCAAACCCAAGAATATTACTGAACTGGAGGCCATTTTTCATGAGCAATGTGCTAAGATCCCTTGCTAGAAGTTGTATCTGGCTATGCTTGTCAATTGCAGCAGGTCATAGCAGCAAAATGGTGCTCTACTAAATACTAACAATGCTTGAGTTGAATCATTTTAAGACTGGAAAAGCCATTACAAGTTGCATTTTTAGTTGAATTTGGGGAAATCACTTAAAACATTCTTTTTGCCAAGTTATTTATATTGCTTTTGTTTGATTTGTTCATTGCAAACAGCCGAATATCTGTAAAATTTGACAATAAACCTTATTTTTAATGGGGGTTGAATAATCATGATTACATCTTTACATATGACTATTATCAGAATAATGATATATAAACATTTATGTAACTGACCCATAAATAATCTAACACATAACTAACAGTGTCTAAAACAGCGTATCCTTTAGTGCATGGGCATGTTCATGAATATTTCTTTATTTCATACCTTCTTTCATATCTTGTACATTCAGTGTTGTTTCTGTGATTTCAAATCCAACAACATTCGTGGATTCACATATATAGGTCCCTGCATCCTCCACTTTAACACTTTTAATATGGATAACTTCATTATAACTTTCTAACTCCAGACCCTTCTTCTTTAGGATGATCTCAGGTTGTGGAAATGCTGTTGATTTGCAGACGATGCTGATTGGTTCTCCTTCCTTCACCGATGATGATGGTAGGATGATTAGTTGTGTGTTTTTGGGTGGAACTGTTGAGAGAGAGATCACAATTTAGAAACTCTTTGGAGGAATAGATCAATGCTACCAGTGGCCAAAATATAGAGCCACAGGTATAGTAGAACTACAACACTGCCAAAGTATCAATGGAGTTGTAGTTTTGCAGCCCTGAAACTGATGAGAGAAAGGACGCAATAGAAAATTAGCATTGTATGGCTTTATAGAATTAGAAAGCACTCAATATTGTAATTTACTTTTTGGATTTTTGGGAGCCAATTGTTTACAAATATAAACAATATAATGTTAAAATGTATAACATTATGCAACTCTTTATTACAAAGAAATTTATTCTCAGTTTCGAATGCACATTTGTAGCTTTCATACCTTGTACGATGAGTGTGTCTTCTGTACTTTCAATTCCAATATGATTCCTTGATTCACATATATAGGTTCCTGCATGCTCTGCTGTAGCACTTTGAATCCGGTGTTCTCCTTGAGCAATTTGTAACTCATGTAGGCCGACATCAGTCTTCTTCTTTAGGATGATCTCAGGTGGTGGAAATGCTGTTGAATTGCAGAAGATGCTGATTGATTCTCCTTCCTTCACCGATGATGATGGCAGGATGATTAGTTGTGTGTTTGTGGGTGAAACTGTTGAGAGAAGGAACCCAATTTAGAAACTCTTTGGAGGAATAGATCAATGCCACCAGTGGCCAAAAGGTAGAGTACCATATCCAGTAGAACTATAGCACTGCTAAAACATCAAGGTTTCTTGGTTTCTATTGCAATTTTTTTACTTTCGTACCTTGTACAGTGAGTGTGTCTTCTGTACTTTCAATTCCAATATCATTCCTTGATTCACAAATATAGGTTCCTGCATGCTCTGCTGTAGCACTTTCAATCCAGTATTCTCCATCAGCCATTTGTAACACCTGTAAGTCAACATCAGTCTTTTTCTTTAGGATCAACTCAGGGATGGGAAAACCAGTTGATTTGCATATAACGTGGACAAATTCGCCCTCGCTCACTTCTGCAGACGGTGTGAATCTTACTTGTGTGTTAGTGGGTGGAACTGTTGGGTGAAAAAATATGTTACAAAACAATAAATTAAAGTATTGTTGCAAAGTTTCTACTTCCCCTGCAGTTACATTATTCAGAAAGAAAACAAAACAATACTATCACCACAATCACGTATGAATAGTGTGAAATAAATATGCAATATACTTATCAGGTAAATAAAGTGGACAGCCTCCCAAGGATCACTTCCCAGTTAGTGATCTTTAGACCAGAATACAAGCAAAACACAAATGGGATAAGGCTGCGGAATCTAAAAAGAACATAGACAAAACATAGTGTAAGACAATTTTAACAAATAGTGTGCACTGCACAAAAATGCACTCACAAGATGTAGACATATTATGCGCTCAAAGGGTGCCTCCCCCGATGTAATTGGGGGGTTATAGATCCCTCTCCGCTGTCTGCAGGATAGCAGGAAATCATGACTCGGATGGTAGTATAAAAAAGCGGTTTTTATTATAAATTAAATTGGTAAAACAGCAGTAGTTGTGGTCTACTAAATTACAGATGGTTATACAAAGATAACAGCCTGTGGATCTGTAATTTACTTTGATTTTATGGTCTCTGAGGAAGTTCCAAGTGTGGAACGAAATACGTAAGACCACAACTACTGCCGTTTTACCAATTTTATTTGATTTAGCCGCTATTTTATACTACCATCGGAGTCCTGATTTTCTGCTATCCTGCAGACAGTGGAGGGGGACCCATAGCTCCCCAATTACATTGGGGGAGGCACCCTTTGAGCGCATAACACGTCTTCATCTTGTGAGTGCATTTTTGTACAGCACACATTATTTGTTAAAATTGTATTACACTATGTTTTGTCTATGTTCTTTTTAGATTCCATAGCTGTATCCCATATGTGTATTGCTTACATTATTCAGAAAGTAATAAATTGTAGTGTTCCAGGAATCTGCGGAGTCTGGGGAAAAATAATAATGTCACACTGTGTTGATTCACCATTTGCTCAAAATGGTTTAAGCTTACAGTATTATTTTTTTAGAATGCTGCACTTAGAAGGATTTATAAGAATTCTTGATAGTAGAACCACGATCAAACTTCACTAACAGACAGCCAGTTGGCAAAACATTGAGGTGCTTACAAACTGTTATATGTTCTAACATACATGTGAATACATTAACTAATGAACTTTAAAAAAAAAATAAAAAAAATCTGATCTTATCAGACACCAAATCTTAGTTAAGCTCCAACATGCAGATCATCCTAAAAGCTTACTCCACATACTTACATTTCACAGTAAGGGTTTTTGTTGCCTCTGCTTTTCCAAAAGGATTCTCTGCTTGGCAAAGGTATGTGGCACCATCTTGGATTTGTACTGACTGTATCTCAAAGACATCCTTATTGTCCATTAAGAGTTTATTCTCATTTTCTGTCACCAACCATAGGGTAATGTTTGCTGAAGTTCCGCTGTTCACAGAGCATGCAATTGTAACTGTCTGTCCCAGAGTCACTGATGTATCTGGTTTGATGGTGATTGTAGGTTTATCTGGGAGAGCTAAGAACAGCAAAGAAGCAGAAATAGACATGCTTATACAAACAATGAATGTATTTGGTGATCAATGTGGGTAAACTTATGGTGTTATTAGTGTCTCTCATAATGATTGTCAGCATTGAGTTATACATATGCTGTTATTTTTCATGTTGTCATTTTATAGGCCTACATGAAAATGTTTTATTGAGGGCTTGATGTAGGACAAAAGCAAGAGTAAAATGGAAATGTCTATGGAAGAACAATAGGATGAGGGTTACATGATGGCAACCAGATGCGTTTCTGTATGATGGTTTATGCAGATGGTATTGGGAAATCATAGGTAACATGTTCCTAAATAATAAGGTCGTATAGGGTTATAGATATTAGGAAGAATTGTTGGGATATGATATAGGGAGCAAAAGGAGGTACTATGCCATATGTAAAGCGCTGCAGAATTTGACGGCGCTCTATAAATATCATAATAATAATAATAATAGCTGTAGTGATAGGAAGAGGAGTTAGTTGGATGCCATAGTAGGAGTGGTACAAGAATAAGATTTTTCTTTTATTGTGATTGATTATATGGAGCAGTATATGGAATTTCTAAGCATCAACAAAGGTAAAAATATGGTACTGTTTAAAAGTCTCTTACTCTGTACTGTGATTTCAACAGAAGCGGATTTTTTCCCTGCAGCATTCTCTGCATAACAGATGTATTCGCCAGAGTCTTCCATTTGTGCTTGATTGATTTCCAGACTGCTGTTCCCATCAGATGCAATCTTTAAAGTTTCACCTCCTCTCTGCTTAACCCACCATATTTTGACTGGAGTTCTACTATCACACGTACAGCTCAGAGATATTGTCTCCATCCATTTCACCTTCGTTGATGGGTGAACTACCATACTGATATTTCCAGGTGGATCTAAAAACACAGAAGGTGGAAGACGGTGGAATTTCTTAAAAATACATGCAAATGTGAGTTTTGGGTTTTTTCCTCAGTCTTTTACCTTAGTCTCATAACATGTACCACAATGTCAACGTTTTAGGGTTGATGCATGAATATCTGACTTTGTGGTTATCATGCTAGTATTTCACTAATAGAAAACTGATGATCCGTTAACATCTAACAAGAACCAATATCTACATTTTTTTAACCTGTTGATTTGCTATTTCGTTCATGGTGAGGTAGTGTTTGGTCTTGTGTTCAGGTCATGGAGGAACTTTACACAGACAGACAGAGACAGACAGACAGATAGATAGATAGATAGATAGATAGATAGATAGATAGATAGATAGATAGATTTATATAAAGTGTGGAACCATTTTACACAGATGGGTATCAGGAGAAACAATGTGTTGTAAAAACTCTTGTTTCTTGGTTTGATACTTATTTATACATTTAAATCACATAGAACATCACAGACAGATTTGTGCTTGCTGATAAATGTATGAATTGATAAGTTATAGGAAAAATACTTTTAGTTATCTGCATTTATCATCCTTCTCTGTATATGTAATCTGCAACCACCTTTCTAACACATAAAATTAATTTGACCTTGGAAAAGAAAAAAGGGTCCAGCCTATGTAGTTCACATACTATGCAGAGGACTAGCAAGTGGTGACATTGCAACAAAATGGAGGTTACCATTGTTAGGGGCACAATAATGCCATCTGTTGAAGAATAAAATGAAAATTCACACAGATTATTCTCATCTTCACAGTTCTGCAAATTGCTAATTAGCATTGCTGTACATTGAGAAGTGTTGCATAAAAGAATCCAAAAGATATCAACAATTCTAAACGTTTATTAACTAAACTGTGGGATAAAGAGAATTGATATCCAAATAGCCAACTTTAGGACAAAACAACCATGATGTGATTGTTGCTGAATGGGATATTTTTTCTAAATTGGCCATTTTAACCTCAGTTTTGCCATTCAGTTCTTAAAAGTATATTTGAAGATGGTGTGTACAAACAAATACCTTGATAGTCCTAAGTTTATTTTTTATGTACATCGGAGAATTGCAAATGCATAGAGAAAAAAAGAATGGTGTCTGTGTAGATGATAAAGAAACAATATTTGATGTCACACAAAAAATCACTTGTAAGAACACCTGAATTGAAGGATCTTAAGATCAAGCCTAGTCAGTTTCACTTAGAAATAAAGGCATGTTTGCCAAAAAACTTGCCACTTACAGATAAGATTAAGAATCATTCTGGTGTCTCTTGTCTTTGGATGAATCCCTCCACTGGGAAATTCCAGTCGTGCCACACATAGTATTTGATGGCTCTCGTTTTCTTCTTCGGGGATCCAGCTGTGTGATACACTGATGTTTTTGGTTTGGAGTCTGTCATCCACTATGGTATGTAAGTCCGATTCAGCAATTACCTTTTGATTCTTCAGAATTTGTACAGCCATCATTTCTGTAGGATACACATAGGGGACTGCACAGGTAATCGTGGACTCAATGCCAACCACCAAAGAGGACACCTGCAGCACAGGGTCACTGGGAAACGCTGTGATGTGACAAAAACTATAATCAATTCTGTTCTGAGAAAGAGATTACCACAACAATTTGTATCAGGCATGCTTAGTCTTACTTTATCATAATCTGTGAATTAGAAATAGCAGCATATACATATACAAAAAAGTGATGCATTTTTATGTAAAAAGATCACTCTCTTAAAATATAAGATTGTGTTGGAGAGTTCTGAGCAGTGTCTAACATTCTACAGATGAAATCTAAAAACTAAAATCATTATCATGGATCAACAGACAAAAAACCTATGTGAGGAAGGCTGAACTTGATGGACGCAAGTCTCTTTTCAGCTACCTAACTATGTTACTATGATGGTAAAGGGTCTGTAATGCATTATTAAGTGCATATATAATATATTGAGTAATTTACAGTTGTTTAAATGGAAATAAATGCATGATTTAGCACTTCCATCTATGAATTTGTCCTAGCTTATCACAATCTCATGGATCATGTTATAAAAATAAAATACATGGAATGTCGCTGCTACTACTCTCCAGACCTCTGAAGAACTTTAGCTTGCTGAAGTGAAGAGTAAATTCTCTGTTTTCATTTTACTAAAATACTAGAAGGGCAGATTTCATTAGAAATTGGCACTTTTATAAATTCATGTTGTTAAATCTCACTGGCTGTCAATCACAACTCGAAGAGCCAGAGCACCTGTCTTGCAAAAACTTCTCATTGAGCTGCATTGGAAAGTCTGTGGTTGGACAGCAACATAAAATCTGGACTGGGGAAGAAGGGGAGGGCTTGCAAAGACTGCAGACAAGAGATCTACAGCTTGTGTAAGTTTTTAGATAGTCCCCCAGTGAAAAAAATGCTTAAAGGACCACTCTAGGCACAGCTCCTGCCGCGCATGCGCATTCACCCGAAGAGGAGGCGGAGAGGAGGAGGAGAGCTCCCCGCCTGGCGCAGGAAAAAAGGTAAGATTTAACCGGGCGGGAGTGGGACTCTGCGGGTGGGGGCACTCTCAGGGCACTATAGTGCCAGGAAAACAAATATGTTATCCAGGCACTATAGTGGTCCTTTAATTAAATTCCTGCATGTTTTCATTGGCGACATATCTACTTAAAAGTGGTTGTTATTTTTTTGAATTGGGGCAGTAAAGTGACCCTTTAATATAATTTCAGGTATCCCTTATGTCCCCCCACACTCTGTTCTCACTTTGCATTTCTATTTCCCATACCAGTTTTCTCAATCCCCATATTCAATTTGCTGTCCTCCCATAAATACTCCTAATCCACTTTTCCCTTTTTGCATATATCTTTTACACACATATCTCCTTTGCCTAATGCTAATCACTCCCTTTTCAATACCCACCCTGTTTGTACCCTTGTTCTATTCAATTCACTTCTAGGAAACCACCCATATTTTATTCCTTCCACCATTGCCACTCAATTACTCTCTCTCTTCTACTATTCCAAATTTCTGTTTCTCTCCATTCTTTTTCCATTCCTTGCCTCCGCAACATAATTCCACTTCTCCACCTCTCCAAATTCTTATATCAATAAATTGCTTCTACGTTTTCACTTTACAGCACTATCACTAGGAGATTTGAAAATATTTGTTTATGTTATGCCAGATGTGTCTCCACCATAAAAGTCATTTGTATCACACCTGTAGCATATTATCAAATAAAGAAAGGTGAGACACATGCAGTCCAATTTTACCGTGTGTACAATAACAGCGTGCAAATCAGTATTGTGAAAATAGATTACAGTTTGAATGCTAACATAATAGCCCAACGATATCTGTCATTCATAAAAGGAGAAGCATTTGTAGGAATCAAAATATATGTTGTGTTTACCAAGTTTTGACCATAATATTAACAATTGAGGAATTCGTATTGGCTAGGCATGTCTACATTGTTTGGGAGTTTATTTTATTGGTCCATAGTCAGCCAGTAACCATCCAAATTCTAGCTAAGATGTTATAGTTTATCTACAGACAGCTGAACGGCTACCGGCTGGACAACAACTGTGGAGTCTCTCCAGAACTCCCAAAGTCATCATACTTGATCATATCTAGTCCTCCGGTACCGATCAAACCGCGTAACTGTTTTTTTTTTTTTCCAATACTACATTGGATGTTTATAAAGATGAATGTGAGCTTTACAATGAATGTGTTTGAATTGATTAAAAAAAGATAGAACATACTTACAGTATGGAATGATTCTGAAGGTTTTCTCTGACTTTCCATTCTTACAGAAGACTTTACACACGTATTGACCTTCACTGTCTATGCTGACCATCATGTTAAGGATGGAGATGCTTCCATTAGTGCTGACAGCGCCACTTAATGTTTTGTCCATAAGACTAGACCAGGTAAATGAAGGGCCTTCGCAGTCCGTGGCCTCAGCAGTTATATGAAGTGGTTCCCCAATCTGGGCAACGATCTTGCTTTCCAGGGGAGAAATGATGATAGAGACAGCAGAGGCTGTAGAGAAGACATAGCTGGAATCAGCTTGGATGTTCAACAACACATGCATTAACATAATAGCCTTATTGTGATAGTTTAACAATTAATTTATGTCATATAAGTATCTCACTGGGGGAATGGGGTGGGGCGTGGGGGGAGGTATGTATTTTGTATGTCTTTTGTGATTCCATAACAATATTTTTCCATTATCAATAAACAATACTGGTTTAATAACTCACAATGGGAATATTGGGCTAAAATGTTAAGTTTATTGTTCTAGTCATTTATAAAAAAAAATTTTAGTGCCAAATGCTACTTCTAATTATCAACAATTTATTTTTTCTTGGCAACGCATACATTCTACAGATTAGATTTGTTTGCATGCCATGCCATACTGATATACAAAGAGTTAAACTGATAATATAACTTCTATTATTAGTATATGGACCATTGGAATTCTGAACATTCCATTGACAGACTGCTCCAATCTACTAAAGCAATTTCACTTTTACATTTCACCAATTAAGTTACAAGTAAATTCCCAGAGAGGAACGATGCTCTTAAGCATTAGAGGTTCATAAGATATACATAAAAATTTTAATTTGCAATGAGTCCTTACTGGTCATAGAAACGCTGAGAATTTGAATGAAGGCAAACACGGAAAATCCTTGAATCCCAGACATGGTGTGCTGTCCTTGTATTCCGGTCTTTGATGGAGTGTGTCCAGGTTTGTTTAATGTCTTTAGATTAAGGTGTGATGCAAAATCCCAGGATTTTAGTTCATTATAAATCCTGATTTTTCCAAATATTTATCTCTTTTTAGTCCAGGAGGTTTGATGTTTTTAGTTCCCCAGGCTGTGGTTGGGGTACTAGGTGTATGATACTTTTGTGTCCCGAGGTCTGTCTGGCTCACTCAGTTGTGTCAGAAAAAAAACTGAGTTTCCCTTTATAAAGACTGGGGAGGCAGAATCCAACCACAGAATAATGAGAAGAAAAAAAACCTAAAAAAGATGCTCACATGATGGTACTCATAGTTACACCACTGCCCTCTAGTGGTAAAAATGGAATTTGGTCGAAAGAGAAATTAAAATATGTTGGAAAAAACTTTTAAGTCAGAGATTTCGACTTTTTTTTTGTATTATTATTATTATTATTATTGCCATTTATATAGTGCCAAAATATTCCGTAGTACTTTATAATATTATGAGAGGGGGGATTTAACTATAAATAGGACAATTACAAGAAAACTTACAGAAACGATAGGTTGAAGAGGACTCTGCTCAAATAAGCTTACAGTCTATGCAACTTTCAAATGGAACCTAACCAGGAGATTCGATAGCTAAAAGGGGATATTTTAATCACTCTTATGGCACTGATAATAATATGCTGGAACTTTTCTAGTTTACCACTGGAATAATTTAATTAATTCTGTCGTTAGACATTTTCTTTCATTAGCAACGGGACATGGGAATTAAAGAGTTACTCCAAGCTCATTAAATACACAGAGCTGGGGAGACTACATAGACACCCATGCAACAGGCAGAATTGAGTATAATACAGAGATGCTGCGCACACTTAAATAAGGATAACAGAAAAAAATGCAGAGGGACCATCCCCTCCAGGCCAAGAGCCCACCCATCAGCTATCACCCATCCTTCTTAAGACTTATCTCTTCTTCTCTTATATCTTATATCCACACTCCTGTCAAGGACATCTTCCTTGCTGTACACTTACCTTGCCCTGACAGACTCTCAATTTATATTTCACAGTATGATCATTTTATCTCCTTTTAATCTGCCATACTGATTCTAGAAAACCTACCAAATTTATGAAACAGATTCTCCTTGACCAATTCACATCTCCATGTGCCTCCCATCACAGGACTATCTATTTAGGGAAGGGGTTACATTAAAGAATGTACACACAAGAAATTTACGCACAAGAAATTATGAATCAATCATTTATTTTCTGAAATATTATTGAAACACAATAAATACACTATTGACTCAGTCTCTATCGCATTAACTATGTTCATATTTAGCAGTTGTTGGTCAGCGTTTGTCATTAAAGAGCACTTTGTAAAAGCATGGAGTGGAGTGGTGAACCTCCTAGCCCAGAGGACATACTAGATTTGATTGTGGATTGCGACTCTCAACATTCTTAAATGAGTTACAATCTATAGGTCTTGAGTTCTAAATGCTACGTGTAACCACACTTTACTGATCACAGTGTGCTCCGTAGAATGCTAGGAATGAGTGAATGAAGCTTGCATCTTCATTATCTAGGTTATGCTTCAAGACAGTGCTCAGACAGCAAGATTAGCAAATATAACTATTGTTATTCTTATAACCTTTACTTGAACTCCTAGCTGCAAAATTAATTACTGCACGTTGTCCTGCCCAATATTTTCTGCTATTTTTAAATATTTGTATTTTGTATTTTTACATTTCTTTCAGAGAGCAATGCCCACAGCAGTATATAGTCAAGACATTTTTACAGCAGCCTTGCTAATTCTTTGTAAGTTCCAGCTCACCTAGAAGGTCTTGTTGTCATTGTAGAGACCATAACGTGCCATCCATGTCATGACTGACTGCATTTGGCGAAGACATTTTGTAAAATACATATGTACCAGTGATAGAGAATCTTGACATCCCAATTGTTTGTAAACTTTTTTCCCAGAATGCTCAGCCACTCAATGCAAAATCTGGCATCATAGCAAATTAAGTTCACAAATATATGGGGTGCCAAATAGAATCGAGCTGTATTAACAGCAATTCTGTTCATGAACTGAGCTCCTGTAATAGCTAAACAAGCTAAACATAATGAGAATCAATGGCTCGATGTTTGGTTCTGAAAAAAACAACTTAATGCCTAAAGTAATGATTCCACACACAACTTGTTATGTTTTTTCGATTTTAACAACATTTCATTTATGGTGTTTTTGGATTTTACCCTCAATTTCCACCCCTCCAACATCAGTTTTTGACAAACGACAGTTGCAAATGCCAATGCAACTACGGAGGGCAGAATAAGAATTACAATTCAACACACAAGTGATACACAAACACACTTTCATTACATTCAAAATATTGGATATATTTACACAAAAAAGACAGATGACAATGAAGAAGTGAAAAATATAAATAGCACCTTTGTAAACACTAAAAAAACATATAATTACAAATATATTTACAAAGTAGATTTCTATGGTGAAGTGCAAAAACAGTTTTTAAGAGGTCAATGAAATTGCTTGTCTTTCGTTTTCTCGTTCTTCCGATGTCTCAGGTGTTCACATAAGTAGATGCTTATGTGGCCTCATGAGTGTCAAAGATTTATGACAGCAGAACAACCAAGCACAGTTGTAAAAATCTACCCATGGTTCTTCCACGTCAGCCATTTCACATTGTACTGCAGTAGACATTGTAGTTTTCCAATATTTTCTTGTTTTTAAAAAAAAAAAAGGGACAATTGTATGTCTGTGCAAAATATTTTTCCAAAGAAGATCTAAAGTCAGTCATTCTGGTTACACTTTACTTCTAAGAGCTTCCACGAGGCTGTACGACCCTTGTAAATTCCCTTGTTTCATACGATAAATGATTAAACATATGACACCTGCTGACACAGCCATGGATAACACTACAATTGGGACCGTGTAGTTAGGTTTCGGGCTCTCGCGGCGCTCTGAAACAAAGAATAAGAGTTACACAACAATTAGAGAACCTGACTGTGGATAAAAGTAAAGGAAAAGAATGAGAGTGTCTTGATATAGAGAGTAAAATGTCATGATCATGGCAAAATTGGAAAATACATGCTTTTGATAAACCATTGGTATAAAATATTATGTCAAATAGTATCAGTTATCAAAATAATTGTCATTTATCAAAAATGTCATGGTCTCAGATTTGATAAAATACAAGTCCCTTGAGGAGTCTATATAAAGTGGCCGCAAGACATTTTGTTGCCTAGGACCCAGAGGGCAACAAAACCTGACTGCAAATCATACCCCCACATAATGAAGACACATACACAAACTTAATTAATCATACTCAAGTAAGTATGTACCTAAAAAGCCACATGTGCATACATTAACCACTTACACATATCAAATTAGCCACAAACACTTTCATTTGTAGCATTACACACAATAATGTATACATAGACACGTGCACACACATACTTAGATACAGACTCACACACCTACATAGAAACACAGGCACACATTCACAGCTGCACACTAACACACATAATTAGACACGCATATTAACATTCATACTTGTATGTGTAAAAAAATTTAAATCTAGAAAATGCTCAAGCACTGACTTAGGCCTGTAAAATGCCATCTCCCCAAAATAGGATTGGACACCAGATAAACCCAGTCTTGAGACTAAAATTAAGAGATTTGTAAATTTAGGATATTATTGAGGTAATTATTTCTTATTGTCACCTTATAGGAAACCACAGAGTATATTTATCAAGGATTGTTGTAAACTATGACACTTTTCAACACAATAATGACACTTTTCAACACTATTTGGACTTTAAAAAATGTTGGCCTTGATTTAATAAGCTTTCCATTTATTCTATACTGTTAGGAAAACATTCCAGACAATTTATCTAAAAGCTCCCATAGGAAAGCACCCATTGTTCAACGCTACGAAATCTGATGGCGCTATATAAATAATAAAATAATAATAATGCGCAAGAGCGACAAAACGCTGCACTGCGCCAATCAGCATCTCATCATAGAGATGCACTGAATAAATGCATCTCTATGATAAAAGTTCAGTGCCTCCATTCAGAGCAAGGAGACATTGAGCATCAGGGCTGCACGGTGTGCAGCAATGACCCAGGAAGCACTTCTAGTGGCCGTCTTTGTGACTGCTACTGAAGATGTCCATAGCCAGCAATGTAAACACTGCCTTTTCTCTGAAAAGACAGTGTTTACATGAAAAAAGGTCTGCAGACACTGACTATACTATATATTTTGATTTTAGATTTATTTATTAAAAGTTACTTTTTAATCTATAATCTTCTCAGTAAATCATACACAGGTAGAATGGCATTTGTTTCTTTTTTTGTTTATTCTCTATGATATTCACCATTTAGGGGTTACCCCCCTTTTTTGTGCCCTCTACCTTGTGATATCTAAATTTTGGCCCTAGGTTAATTCTTTTTGTTTTCCTCGTATAATATGTAGGTGTTTTGATGACTATAAGATAATTTTTCTAGAAAATCAAAGTTTTAAATGGCTCTAAGCTTTTATGTATCAAACAAAAAAGAGCCTTATGGGAACCATATATTATTGCTCCCCTATCTTGTGTTACGTGTACATTAACTTAACCTGAAGCAAAACACCATAAACATGTGCCTCTAAGAATGGATTTGAAATGAAATCTTTATATTTTTTCATAAGATATTTTGGGCTCCTAAATTACATCATTTCCTGTCTATTGAATCTTCATCTCCAGATGTTATTCTCAAAAGAACATGTTAGAAAACCCCTGTTAGACTGCATGCAAAAGATACACAACACAATTTCTATTGCCAGAGTGCCCTTACGTGCAGCGAAGTTTACTTGTCTAGCCATATATATAAACCAATTCAATCATTTAGACTGATACAGAATTGCAGAATATTAACAGAACAGGGAAACCATTTAAAGTGACCCCATTTGTGAGTGACATCCCATTAAATTGAAGTAATTTAATCTAAACATTCTGCCATCAAAATTTATGATTTTGTAGATTTGGTAAGAAATTAAATATTTGCCCTGCATTTGGATCCAACAGAGCAACAAGTAGTCATCGTATGAAGTAATTCTGATCAGCCCAACATCTTCAACGTTTTCTCTAATCAGTCCAGAAAGTAAAGAAATTCTGGATGACCAGAAAGGATGAATGGTGAGGTGCAAGCTTACATTTGCAATAACCGGATGTTTTTAATTCTCTTTCTGCAATATGTGCTAAGTAGCACACTTAAATAGATACATGAGATTATTTCCAGATTAATACGGGACTCTTATGTTAACATGATGGAGTTCACTTAACATTGATGTGTTCTAATGAAAGATCACTTCAACAATCTGAAAATATTATCCCTGTTTTCTTTTAAAATTTGTATAATGCAGAATTTTGTCACTCGGATGTGATTTCCTATTTCTGGAAAAGCTGTTCTTGCTGCCAATGGATGGGCATGTTCCTGCTGAATGTTTACTTACCGTAATTTCTGTTACAATATTCAGCTGACTGATTTTGTTGCTCTCCCTTAAAATATTTGTATTCTGTTTACCTATGTAATATGTACCCAGGAAATATCAGTGTACTGTCTCAGTAAAGTATAAATATATATGTATATAAACATTTTTAATATTGTGAGCTGGGTGCTGCAGATTTCATTTTAGGATTTTTGGCATCTTTGTCCAGATTAATATAATTTAGATAGACCTAGTAGTAATGTTTTACTTTTTGTTAATATATACATTCTACTGACCTAGAACATTGATCTCAATAACTTTGGTCCTTTTTCCTGCTTCATTAGGTAAGATGACAGTGTAGTTCCCAGAGTCATTGAGGGTGACATTACGCAAGGTGAAGGTTCCATTCTGTGCCTGAATGATAGTACTATTTTCCGCACACACTTTCTGCAGAAGGATGGTTGAGGAGGATATGCTGTAGGTCTCGCAGGTAATTGTGACGGTGTCACCTTCTGTGACATCCTCCGATGGTGTTACAACCACTGTCACGTTTTCAGAAGCAACTAAAAAGGCAGGACCACAAATTTGATTAAGTAAATAAAAATGTGAAATTCATTTATATCTCAAAATATACATTAATCTACAATCGTTCATGTTGTCGTAACAATTGTGGTCTGATATAGAATGAATTTCTCACTCAGTTATATGAGGGTTCTATAGATATGCAGATGTCCATAGAACCAATAGTTTGTATGAATTAGAATGAAATAACTGCACAGAATGCTATTGTTTGTTAATGGATTGAGTGTGATATGTTTTATACAGTGTGCAGTATTTCCTATCACCAATATCGGTTCATACATATGACTATTATCAAAATAATGATTCCATTCCATTGATGTAGCTGGCCTATAAATAGTCTAACACATTAGTGTCTAAAACCAGATTATCGTTTAGTGCATGGACATGAATATTTCTTTATTTCATACCTTCTTTCATATCTTGTACATTCAGTGTTGTTTCTGTGATTTCAAATCCAACAACATTCCTGGATTCACATATATAGGTCCCTGCATCCTCCAGTTTAACACTTTTAATATCGATAACTTCATTATGACTTTCTAACTCCAGACCCTTCTTCTTTAGGATGATCTCAGGTTGTGGCAATGCTGTTGAATTGCAGAAGATGCTGATTGATTCTCCTTCCTTCACCGATGACGATGGTAGGATGATTAGTTGTGTGTTTTTGGGTGGAACTATGGATGGAAGAGAGGGAACACAATTTAGAAACTTTTTGGAGGAACAGATTAATACCACCAGTGGTCAAAAGGTAAATAACCAGAAACAGCAGAACTAGAACACTACAAAAGTATTGAGGGAGTTGTAGTTTGCAACCCTGAGAAACTGATGAGAGAGAGAGGATACAATAGAAAATCTGCATAATTTGGCTTTATAGTTTTAGAAAGTACTCAATATTGTAATTTTCTTTTGGGAACCACTTGTTAGGGAATATATAAAAAATAAATTCCCAATCTACAACAAGATGCAATTCTATATTACAAATAAATGAGTTCTCGGTTTCTAATGCACATTTTTAGCTTTCGTACCTTGTACAGTGAGGTTGACTTCTGTACTTTCAATTCCAATATCATTCCTTGATTCACAAATATAGGTTCCTGCTTGCTCTGCTGTAGCACTTTCAATCCAGTATTCTCCATCAGTCATTTCTAACTCTTGTAGGCCGACATCAGTCTTCTTCTTTAGGATCAACTCAGGGATGGGAAAACCAGTTGATTTGCACATGACGTGCACAAATTCGCCCTCCCTCACTTCTGCAGACGGTGTGAATATTACTTGTGTGTTCGTGGGTGGAACTGTTGAGTGAAGAAATGTGTTACAAAACAATAAATTTATGTATTATTGCAAAGTTATTGAGTCGTCTTCAGTAACATTATTTGGAAAGTAAGAAATCACAGTGTTCTGAACAGAATCTGTGGTAAAATATTAATGTCGCGTTGTGTTGAATCACCATTTGCTCAAAGTGGTTTAAGCTTACAGTATTTTTTTTAGACTGCAGCACTTTAGAAGGATTAAGAAGAATTCTTGAGAGTAGATCCACAATTGAATCAAACATATCTCACAAACAGATTGGCAAAAATATTTGAGGTGTTTACAAACGGTCATATCTTATTAGATTATGAACTTTACTAATTAACTTAAAGCAAAAAATCTGATCTTATCAGACACCAAATCTAAATGGTGCTCTTAGCTAGGATCCAACATGCAGATCACTCTGAACACTTACTCCACATACTTACATTTCACAGTAAGGGTTTTTGTTGCCTCTGCTTTTCCAAAAGGATTCTCTGCTTGGCAAATGTATGTGGCACCATCTTGGATTTGTACTGACTGTATCTCAAAGACATCCTTATTGTCCATTAAGTGTCTAGTCTTGTTTTCTTTCACCAACCATAGGGTAACGTTTGCTAAAGGTCCGCTGTTCACAGAGCATGCAATTGTAACTGTCTGTCCCAGAGTCACTGATGTATCTGGTATGACGGTGATGGTAGGTTTATCTGGTAGAGCTAAGAAAACCAAAGAAGCAGAAATAAACATGCTTATACAAACAATGAATGTATTTGGTGATCAACGTGGGTAAACACATGATGCTATTAGTGTCTCTCATCATGATTGTCAGCATTGAGTTATACATATGCTGTTATTTTTCATAGTGCCATTTTATAGGCCTACACGAAGATGTCTTTTTGAGGGCTTAATGTAGGACAAAAGCAAGAGTAAAATGGAAATGTCTATGGAAGAACAATAGGATGAGGGTTACATGATAGCAATCAGATGGGTTTCTGTATGATGGTTTATGCAAATGGTATTGGGAAGTCATAGGTAACATATTCCTAAATAATGAGGTTGTATAGGGTTATAGATAGGGAGCAAAAGGAGGTACTATACTGTAGAAACAAAGGTAAAAATATGGTACTGTTTAAAAGTCTCTTACTCTGTACTGTGATTTCAACAGAAGCAGATTTTTTCCCTGCAGCATTCTCTGCATAACAGATGTATTCGCCAGAGTCTTCCATTTGTGCTTGATTGATTTCCAGACTGCTGTTCCCATCAGATGCAATCTTCAAAGTTTCACCTCCTCTCTGCTTAACCCACCATATTTTGACTGGAGTTCTACTATCACACGTACAGCTCAGAGATATTGTCTCCATCCATTTCACCTTCGTTGATGGGTGAACTACCATATTAAGATTCCCAGGTGGATCTAAAACACAGAAGGTGGAAAACTTTGACTTTTATATGATTTATGTTTTAATGGAGCAATTACTGTGATTGAAATATGTTTGTATGAAACGCATATTATGAGATTAAGAAATAACATAACTATGATATTACAAACTACTATGGGATATTTAAAATCAGATGTATCAGCTATAATATGCTTCATGAAAATAAAATGTAAAAAAATGTAAAAGAAAAACTTAGACTTACTTCAAAATAATGTAAATTCAAGTTTTTTTCATAGTGTGAGTTTAGTCTCATAACACGTACCCCAGTGTCAACGTATTAAGGTTAATGGGGAGATTCTGACTTATAAAACTGACTTGATGCATGAATATCTGAATTTGTGGTTATAGTGCTTGTATTTCACTAATAGAAAACTGATAATCAGTTAACATCTAACAAGAACCAAGATCTACTTTTTAAAAACCATTGATCTGCTATTTCGTTCACGTTGAATTTATGCCTGGTCCTGTGTTCAGGACATTGAGAAACTTTATGCAGACAAATAGATAGAGTATATAAAGTATGGAATCATTTTATACTGATTGGTATCGGAAGAGACAAAGTGTTGTTAAATCTCTTGTTTCTTGGTTCGCTACCTATTTATACATTTAAATCACATAGAAGAACATCACAGACAGATATGTGCTTGCTGATAAATGTATGAATTGATAAGTTATATGAAAAATACTTTTAGTTCTCTGCATTTATCATCCTTCTCTGAATATGTACTCTGCACTGAGCAACCACCATTCTAACACATACAATTAATTTGACCATAGAAAAGAAGAAAGGGTCCAGCCTATGTAGCTCACACACTACACAGAGGACTAGCAAGTGGTGACATTGTAAGACAATGGAAGTTGCCATTGTTAGGGGCACAATAATGCCATCTGCTGAAGAATACAATTTAAATTCACACAGATTATTCTCATCTTCACAGTTCTGCAGATTGGTAATTAGCATTGTTGTATATCCAAATGATATCAACAATTCTAAAAGTTTATTAAACTCTGAGATAAAGAGAATTGATATACAAATAGCCAACTTTAGGACAAAACAACCATGACGTGATTATTGCTGAATTGGATATTTTCTCTAAATTGGCCATTTTAACCTCAGTTTTGCCATTCATTTCTTAAATTGCTATATTTCTTTGTTAATCAAATAATGCAACCATGAAAGTATATTCCAAGATGATGTGTACAAACGGCTACCTTGATAGCCCTATCTTTATTTATTATGTACATCAGAGAATTGCAAATGAATAGAGAAAAAAAGAATGGTGTCTGAAAATACTGTACCTTTTCATTGGAACTATGTTTGGTTGATAAAAATTCTATCTGAAAACCACTTTCTTTTTTTCTCAGATCAGCATAGAGGAAGGTTTATGGGTAGATCATAAAGAAACAATATTTGATGTCATACAAGAAATCACTTGTAAGAACACCTGAATTAAAGGTTAGTGACCTGAAGAACAAGCCTAGTCAGTTTCACTAAGAAATAAAGGCATGTTTGCCAAAAAACTTGCCACTTACAGATAAGATTAAGAATCATTCTGGTGTCTCTTGTCTTTGGATCAATCCCTCCACTGGGAAATTCCAGTTGTGCCACACATAGTATTTGACAGCCCTCGTTTTCTTCTTCGGGGGTCCAGCTGTATGATACACTGATGTTTATGGGTTTATCTTCTATTATTGTATATAAGTCCGATTCCACAATCATCTTTTCATTCTTCAGAATTTGAACAGTCATCATTTCTGCGGGATACACATAGGGGACTGCACAGGTGATTGTGGACTCAACGCCAACCATCAAAGAGGACACCTCCAGCACAGGGTCACTGGGAAACGCTGTGATGTGACAAAAACTATAATCAATTCTATTCTGAGAAAGAGATTACCACAACAATTTGTATCAGGCAGGCTTAGTCTTACTTTATTATAATCAGTGAATTATAAAAAGCAGCATAACATTTACAGAAAAGTGATGCATTTTTATTTAAAAATATCACTCTCTTGCAATATGAGATTGCTATGGACAGTTCCCAGCAGTGTCTAACATTCTACAGATGAAATTTAAAAAGTAAAATCATATGATGGTAAAGGTTCTGTGGAACATTATTAAGTGTGCATATGATGTACTGAGTAATGTACAGATCTTAAAATGGGAAAAATACATCATTTAACCCTTCCATATATGAATTTGTCCTAGCTCATCACAATCTCATGGATCATGTTAAAAAAATAAAATACGTGAAATGTTGTTGCTACTACTCTCTAAACCCATTAAGAACTTTAGCTTGCTGAAGTGAACATTGAATTCTCTTTTTTCATTTTACTAAAATGGCACAATTCAATAGAAATTGGCACTTTTACTACATTTGAGGTTTATAACAATGCTTCCAAGATTTACAATAAACGTGCATGAATAGATTTAAAAAACAAAAGAACATACTTACAGTATGAAATGATTATGAAGGTTTTCTCTGACCTTCCATTCTTACAGAAGACTTTACACACGTATTGACCTTCACTGTCTATGCTGACCATCATGTTAAGGATGGAGATGCTTCCATTAGTGCTGACAGCTCCACTTAATGTTTTGTCCAAAAGACTAGACCAGGTAAATGAAGGGTCTTCGCAGTCCATGGCCTCAGCAGTTATATGAAGTGGTTCCCCAATCTGGGCAGTGATTTTCCTTTCCGGGGGAGAAATAATGAGAGAGACAGCAGAGGCTGTAGAGAAGACATAGCTGGAATCAGCTTGGATGTTCAACAACACATGCATTAACATAATAGCCTTATTGTGATAGTTTAACAATTAATTTATGTCATACAAATATCTTACAGGAGTGTGGGGGGGTTTATTATATTTCTTGTGATTCCATTTAGATTATATTTCCATTATGAAAAAAATTACTGATTTAACAACTCACAACGGGAATATTGGACTAAAATATGTTAAGTTTAATGTTCTAGTCATTTATAAAAAAAATGTCAGTGCAAGATGCTACTTCTAATTGTCAACAATTTATTTTATCTTGGCAGCGCATACATTCTACAGATTAGATTTGTTTGTATTGTATGCCACACCATACTGATATACAAAGAGTTAAACTGATAATATAACTTCTATTATTAGTATATGGACCATTGGAATTCTCAACATTCCATTGACAGATTGCTGCAATCTCCTAAGGCAGGGGTTCCCAACCCAGTCCTTAAGTACCCTCTACCAGTCCAGGATTTAGATATTACCCTGTTGTGTATAAAGTGCTTTTTGGTGGATTTTTTTTTCTAAAAACATCTTAGACACAACTGGGTAATCCCTGAATCCTGGACTATTAGGGGGTACTTGAGGACTTGGATGTGAACCACTGGGAATATCCAACTTCACTTTAAAATTTTACCAATTAAGTTACAAGTGAATTCCTAGAGAGGAACGATGCTCTGGAGCATTACAGGTTAATAGGATATACATCATATTTTAAATTTGCAATTAGTTCTTACTGGTCATAAAAACACTGTTAATTTGAAGAAAAGCAAACACGAAAAATCCTTGAATCCTAGACATGGTGTGCTGTCCTTGTATTCCGGTCTTTGATGGAGTCTGTCCAGTTTTGTTTAATGTCTTTAGATTAAGGTTTGATGCAAAATCCCAGGATTACTGATTTTTCCAGATAATTATGTCTTTTTAATCCAGGAGGTTTAATGTCTTTAGTTCCCCAGGCAGTGGTTGGAGTGATAGGTATATAATCCTTTTGGGTCCAAAGGTCTGTCTGGTTCAGCAGTAAACTGAGTTATGTTAGAAAAAGTATACGTCTCCCTTTTTAAAGGCCGGGGAGGGAGATTCCAGCTACAGAATAACAAAACAAACAAACAAAAAAAAAAAAACTAAAAAGATGTTCATGCAACGGCATGGTTCTCATAGTGACACCAGAGCCCTCTAGTGGTAATAATGGAGTGAAGTCGAAAGAGAAAATAAACTATATTGGAAAACACCTTAAGGTCAGAGGCTTAATTAATTTTGCAACTTTCAAAAGAACACGGAACCTGACCAGCAGGCTCTATGACTAAAAGGGGATATTTTACACTGATAAATCAGAATATGCTGGAACTTTTCTAGTTTACCACTGGATTTACTTATTTAATGTTGTCCTTAGACATTTTCTTCTATTAAATAACAACCAAATAATAAGTGGATATGTAACAATACAAAAAAAAAAAAAATATGAAATAAAAATTAGGTGTATATACCTTTAAAGTGTAAACTATCTGGATGTCTCTTTAAAGTGCAAAATATTTTGTGCAAAACAGAACACTTTCTTGTGCAAATAATTAAATTGCAAGAATAACAGTGTAAGCTTCTAACATGTTAAAATGCAAATCAATAGTAAATAGCAATCAATGTTTGCTTACTGTGACATAATTGCAGCAGCTATCAAAGAATACAAGCAAGTATCCCCCATACATAAATCAACCAAAATTGAATTGAACCATTAAAGGGACACTATAGTCGCCAGAACAACTACAGCTTATTGAATTTGTTCTGGTGAGTAGAATCATTACCTTCAGGCTTTTTGCTGTAAACACTGTCTTTTCAGAGACAATGCAGTGTTTACATTACTGCCTAGTGATAACTTCACTAGCTACTCCTTAGATGGCTGTTAGAGATACTTCCTGGGTCACGGCTCCCTAAAATGCATCCAAACATTCAGTGTCTCCACCCTCTGCATGCAGACACTGAACTTTCCTCATAGATATGCATTGATTCAATTCATCTCTATGAGGAGATGCTGATTGGCCAGGGCTGTGTTTAAATTGTGCTGGCTCTGCCCCTGATCTGCCTCTTTGTCAGTCTCAGCCAATCCTATGGGGAAGCATTGTGATTGGATCAGGCTACCACTTCTGCTGATGTCAGCAGGCAGTGGGCAGGTCTAAAGGAAACAGGGACAAAGCCAGCAGCTTCAGGGTTGAATACAAGTAATATTTTACTATATTTAGGGAGGCATGAGGGGGACTAGATGGTTGTTTTAACCCTATAGGGTCAGGAATACATGTTTGTGTTCCTGACTCTATAGTACTCCTTTAAGACAACAATATAAGAACATCTAGTGCAGAGCATTTACACACTTTAAAAACATAGATACAATTTTACGGTGTCAAACTCACTGCATTTAGGTGGATTGTGTGCCACTCTCACTTCAAGAGCCCTGGAGGGATCAAGCTCCTTGAGTTCGGAGGATCCACCAGGCATACCGGACCGCAGACAGAGACTGTTGGTATTGCTGTTATGAAACATGTTAGGTACTCACTATTAGCTCTCAGCACACAATGTGCACAGGGTTAAAGCAGAAGGATATTGACAATATAATTAATCTGCAGCGGTAATATGAAGCCAAGAAGTAGCTAACGTGGTGAAACAAAAGCAACAATCATTAACAGATTGAAAATTAGATCAGTACTCAGAGTCACAGCCCAAGTCCTGCAATGTGGGTATTCACAACTTTTCAACTAGCTACGCATGCGTGTTTCAGGTCTCAGCTACAGAGTCACTAAAGCACTTTAAAGAAGATGGCGAGCACTAAGCAGCTGAGCCTACACTAAGGAATGTGCATTAAGTTATTACATTAATGACATAAGAAAGTAATGTTAGAAGTGTTTTCCCTCCATATATATATATATATATATATATATATATCAGTAAATTATTTTGCTTCATCATACCTCAGGCACACACTGAGGCTATTGAAGGGGAAAAAAAGACATAATACACACTTACACTCAGTAAAAGCCAGTAGCTGCTGCTGTGCCCCATCTGTAACTCCACCCCCTGGTGCTATGAGCCAATGATAGCCCTTGAACAGAGTGGCCAACAGGCAACTCAATGGGAGCCCCTTGAAATTCATTCTTAAAGGAACACTATAGTCACCTAAATTACTTTAGCTAAATAAAGCAGTTTTAGTGTATAGATCATTCCCCTGCAATTTCACTTCCCAATTCATTTAGGAGTTAAATCACTTTGTTTCTGTTTATGCAGCCCTAGCCACACCTCCACTGGCTATGATTGACAGCCTGCATGAAGAAAAAAACTGGTTTCACTTTCAAACAGATGTAATTTACCTTAAATAATTGTATCTCAACCTCTAAGTTGAACATTAATCACATACAGGAGGCTCTTGCAGGGTCTAGCAAGCTATTAACATAGCAGGGGATAAGAAAATGTTAATTAAACAGAACTTGCAATAAAGAAAGCCTAAATAGGGCTCTCTTTACAGGAAGTGTTTATGGAAGGCTGTGCAAGTCACATGCAGGGAGGTGTGACTAGGGTTCATAAACAAAGGGATTTATCTCCTAAATGGCAGAGGATTGAGCAGTGAGGCTGCAGGGGCATGTTCTATACACCAAAACTGCTTCATTAAGCTAAAGTTGTTCAGGTGACTATATTATCCCTTTAAAAGACACTAGAAATGTGCAAAATCTGCTGATGTAGAACAGATTTCAATTCTGTCCCATTTTTTACATGCCTAGTTGCTCTCAAAATAGCTTCTTCAGAGAGCCTCTAATGAGGGGGGAAGGAGTGGACCCTACAAAACTGAAACCTATTACAGAATTAAAGAGACATAGATTTGTTTTATGCTGACACACATAGGCAGTGGTTGGAGTGTGTTAATCAACCTTTCCCCATATTTTTTTAGCTTCCTCCTCCCCCTCCAGAATAAGAATGTTAGTTTTTCTAAACAATTGCAAATATGTTTTTTTTAACCTACATAAAAAACTGGTGGGGTTCTGACCAAAGTGCCCCTTTGGGTGAGCCTCTAGTGCCAGACGTTTTTCATTGGCTGAGAGTGGTTATCTCTAGTGTAGTGGTTATGATGGTTAGAGTAATCCTTTATCCATATCATCCATTGGTATCACATTTACATACAGGTTTATTTACTAAAAAGAGAATTGTCATGAATTCAGAGTGATTTTCAAAAACTAGACCAAAATAGCTGAAATGGAAGCATAGCGAACTTGGAGACTTTTGATAAATTCTGTCATTTTGGCCTTATATTCTAAGTTTACTTTGAATATACTTTAAATTCCTCACAATCCCTACATTAGTGAATAACCATATCAGTGTCTGCAGACATTACATGCTCCCTGGAGTTGTTAAGATATTCACAGAATTCATTGCTAGTCAAAATTTTTATATTATATTTATATCATGTATATATATTGTTTATGAATGTCAAATGTTAGCCTAACATGACTGACTCTGACTGCCACCTTAACTTTGCTTTTCATTGATATCAGTTTAAAACAATGTTCCCACAAAAATAATATTCCATTTGTCTTACAACTTTGAATGTTTTCTGAATATCATCTCACAAGGTTATTCGCTAAAAAAAAGTGAATTCAAAGCAAATTTCACATTTAAGGCTAATATAGCTGAAATGGAAAAATTATCTAAGTTCAACTATCTTAGCCTTAAATTTGAATTTCTGACAATTCTCACTTCATGTGTGTGGCCATGTGGGTGTGAATTCACAATGTTTAAATCCTCAGGAATTAAAGCTGCTATCAAAAGGCAGTCAAAAAACTTCCTCTAACTGATTTACATGATAAAAATATAATTTTCATCTAGTCCTTTCTCATTTCAATACATATCCTTCACTGTTCAGCCACAACCTTAAAACCACCAGCCTAAAATTATGTAGGCCCCCTTGTGCTGCAAAATAGCTATGATGGGTCGATGCATGGATTCCACAAGACCTCTCAATGTCTTCAGTGATATCTGGCACCAAGGCATTAGCAGCAAATCCTTTAAGTCATGCAAGTTCTCAGGTGGGGCCACCATGGATTGGATTTGTTGTTCCAGCACATCCCTGAGATGCTCAATCGGATTGAGATGTGGTGGACGTGGTCTGCAACAATCTCTAAACTAGGCGGTACAACCATATGAATGCCAATTCTGAGGTGGGAAAAAAAGGACGTGTTTACATTACAGCCTAGGGACACATTCAGTGGCCATTCCTCAAATGGAGTGGCCGCTGTGACAGGGCCATCACTCCAGGGGGCCCGGCCGCCTGCATATCTTCATGGTCGGTGCACAGCAGCCAGGCACGGGGCCAGTGGTTGCTGGGGTACCGGTAGGATGGAAGAGCTGTGCTGCTCTCCTCCTGCCCTGTGTGTAGGGTGGCCAAGCAGTCTGATAGGAAGTGCTTACTGAGAGAGCATTTCCTGTCAGATGGGTACCACAGCAATGAGCAGGTACAGGAGGGAAGGGGGGAGAGACACACGGAGTCAGTGGGGGAGGGAATGGCACACATGGATATGTCAAATATTTTTTGATATTTTAATATGTTGAAAAAAAAAATAATTTGAAAGTTTATCCAAAATTATAAAAGAATTCGGAAAGCTTACCAAACAATATTAAATTGAGGCCAATATGTACATCTCACACATTTGTAGTGAGGCTTTAGGATAGATGACCTTAATGAATCAGAGACTCTGTGCGCCCTCTAACACAGTGACATTGTTACATTGCCAGTTGTTTGAGGAACTGGTAAATTACTTCCATTGTACAAA